TAAAACAATAGCAAACAATTTCAATTAAATTTTCAAGTAAGTTGATTTGAGCGACGAGCGATGGTCATCGAGCATCTCCAAAGACACAAGTGAGTAAAGTGAGTTTCCTTCTCTTTCGTGCACTTCGAGTACAATCTCAAGCACCGTTTCGTTAATATCGTGACGCGTAACCCCCTCCGATGCACGCGATCTGCGACAAAGCATGCTAATCTGCTCTCGCGCCGCTTCAAAAGGACTTTTACATTTTCACGAGCTGGCACAAGGCAAAGCTGACGAGGCAGTTGACGACGAATTAATCGTGTCTGATTCAATTACGAAATTTTGCAGCGCTTGCGCGCACGGAGGGGGGGGTTACCGTCACGTACGGAATGTTTCCCATGATTTCTCTCCTATCGCAATGTATGCATGAAAATATTTTTCCCCCCCGTTTTTCCCCCATTTCTCTAGCATATTTTATATATCGGTCGTTCAGCGTTTCCCATTAGAAAGGTTGCCAGTCGCAGAGTGGTAGAAGGCAGCGGCAGTAGGCAGCGCATTACAGAATAAAACGTGAGAGGACTGTAAAGAATAAAAAACTGCAAGAAAAATCATGACGCTCAAAAATGGTACAAAAGTGTTGTTTTTTGATCTTTTTTGTCTTTTGGCGGTGATTATGGTGGCAGTAACGAACAGTAGTAAATATAGTAGTAAGTAGTAAATAGTAGTAATACAGAGGTAGCAGCGGCAGCTGTGACAGTAAATGTAAAATAGTAATGGCAGTAAAAGTTCAGTAACTATATAGTAAACGATGCTGGTTTGTGGTTATAATAATGATAATAATAAGATTTGTAACGAGGACAAGAGAATAATGATGATAAAAATTATTGAGCATCAAAGATATATAAATATATATACATATCTATATACATATAAAAACTCCTACAAAAAGTGTGCCACAATTCAAAACAGTATGTAGTTTGGTGGTCAGACACTACCGGATGAATCGGAATTTTGATAATTACGCTGATAAGGTAACGTAAAGATTGAATAAAATTTTACTGTTCGATCATCGACCGACAGAAATCAATTAAATTAGCCGTATCTCTTACTTCCGTGGGAAGTTTTTACTTCTTTTTTAACTTGCGGCAACGTTTTTGCAAGAGTGCAGATAACTGTACGTGTAAGATTGGTTAGAATTCAAATAGCTGAGATTAAAACCGAAGCTTCGTCGACCAATGCGAAACATTCGTTAGCCCCATTTGCGAAACGGACGTTTTCGCGGTGTTTGCAGAACGAATCCTCGCCCCGCTCCGTTCTTCTCCTAAACAAAACTCCGTCGACGAAACTTGCTTTACGCTGAATTATAAAATTACTAAGAACGATTGTTGCTCGATTGGCCATGAGAAAAAGGAAAAATGAATCGCTTGATGCAGAATCTGATGCATAGCATGGCTTGCTCGGTATTCTCTTACTGATAGATCTCCAAGAGACAACTTGGCAAACTCTACGAAAGAAGAAAGATAGATGTACAAAGAAAGAGAGGAGTTGCCGTTGCGAGAGAAAGAGATAGAGAGAGAGATAGAAATAGATAGATAGATAGATAGATAGATAGATAGATAGAGAGAGAGAGAGAGAGAGAGAGAGAGAGAGAAAGAGAGAGAGGAGACTGAAAAAATATGCAATGTGCGTCACGCAAGTGTGAAAATGTCGCACAAATTCCTACCGTTCTGCATCCATCGATTCGGTCGAGAACTAACTGAGTGTAGTTCTTCTGCTGTGTGTCAACATTGTTAAGTTCCACTTTTACGTCTACGAGAGATTCGAACACAAGAAGAAACAAAGAAAACAAACGAATGAATAAATCTGTAAACGTCCTACTGTGTGCAGTAAAACAGCGATAAGTGGCGCGATCGACAATTTTACATCGTCGCGATAGGACTTAAATGTGAAGAGAATATAGAAGTACCTATTAAAAAGAAGTATCTATTAAAAAGAAAAAAAACCTTGTTGTGTGCGAACATTACATTCAAGAAATTGATTTTCCTGAACGAGGTGCGGCAACTGCAGTAATAAAATCTGACCAAGGACGATAAAGGCAACCAGGAACATTGGAGGTAGAGATAAATAGATAAATGGAGGTAGAGAGAAACGACGAAAAAATTTTCCTAAAACAAAAAAAAGAGAAATAGAAGAGTAGAAGGAAAGAATCACATTTCATACACAAGTTGACATAGGAACGACAATCTCTATTCTATCATAATGCTATTCTACTTAAACATTTATAGAGAGCACGCACGCACGCACGCACGCATACATACACTCACATTCACACACATACATAGAGAGAGAGAGGGAAGGAGGAAGGGGAAGGGAGTAAAATACCACTGTAACCTTTACTATTCGACATTTCATGGTATCAGTGATGGCGAAAACGACGACAACAATAACGATGCGAAAGAAATAGTTCGCAAAATTATACTACAATGGTCAAGTAAAAGAGAACAATCAATATACAATATATTTATCATAATAAACATCTCACAATACCATGAACATATACACGTGTCCCTTGCATCCACGATACTAGTTTATGATTTAAAAAGAGGAAAGGAGAAAAGAAGGAAGATTTCCAAGGTTTATACAGCGCACTCGGCTAATAGTGAAAATATAAAAGTTGCGATAATAACAAAAGATGGTATAGAAAAAAGGAGATGCTAGTAATAAAAACAAAGAGTAATATGAAAAAGAAATAATTATACATGCGTATACAAGAGAGCGAAAAAACGTAACGTAAAAAACACGAAAAGTAAAGAAAGAATGGAAGACAAGGAGAAACGAAAGACTGACAATAAAGACAACGATGAGAGAAAAAAATGAATTACGACTATATGGAAAGAAAATATGTGTGAGAGAGAGAGAGAGAGAGAGAGAGAGACCAGGAGAGAAATACATAATATAGAGAGAGGTTTGTACGAACGATCATGCGACTTTTCACGACGACGTTTCTAAGTCTCGTAGATATCTCATCAGCAACTTATATACACCTCAAGCCACTGGCAGATCACGAGTGAATGTCGACTGCAGTGAGGAATTATAAACAACAACGACGAAAAATTGAATTCAAGGAGAATAAAACTAGAAATAGTAAGTATAATAGAGAAACACACACATACGCGCGCGCGCGAGCGCGCGTCCGCATACACGCGCACATATATGCGTAAAGATATAGAGAGACTTTACAGTAAGATTAGCTTACCTTCTGTGTAATGAAACAACATTAATGCAATCGAGGATCATCATGATGGAGAAGCCCTGCATGACCGTTGATATATAAAAGGAAAATAGCTCGAGACATAGAAAATCTGCGTTTGCTCGTCTTGCGATTCAATCGTCTTGTTCCTACCGATACATACGAACCAAAAAAATGGAAAGAGAAAGAGAAAGAGAGAGAGAGAGAGAGAGAGAGAGAGAGAGAGAGAGAGAATGGGAGGGATAAAAGAAAGAGAAATAAATACTGTACGTATCCGACGCAGTCAAAATATTTTAACACTTTTCGTTCATTATGAACATGCGACATTACAGGAAAAATCTGACGACAAAGGCGGACGAGCAAGCGTTGTTTAATGAGATTCAATTCAGTTTGGAGCGAATAAAGAAATCAGTACATCAGTAATGAGCGAGAACGAAAAAGAAAGGACAGAGAGGGAGAGAGGGAGAGAGGGGGGGGGAGAGAGAGAGTGCGAGAGCAAGAGCGAGAGCAAGAGACAGAGAGAGAGAGAGAGAGAGAGAGGAGAGAGAGAGAGAGAGAGAGAGAGAGAGAGAGAGAGAGAGGGGGGGAGGAGGAGAGAGAGAGGGGGAGAGAGGGGGAGAGAGGGGGAGAGAGGGAGAGAGAGGGGGGAGAGGAGAGAGGGGAGAGAGAGGGGGAGAGAGGGGGAGAGAGAGGGAGAGAGAGAGAGAGAGAGAGAGAGAGAGAGAGAGAGAGAGAGAGAGAGAGAGAGAGAGAGAGAGAGAGAGAGAGAGAAAGATCAAACTCCGAAAGTAAAGCTCGCATGTCCCAGCGACCATATACCACCCTCTGGAGCGTTGCATCTGCGTGCGCCATGTTTGTTTACCTTATCCATATATCCTAGCGTGTATTCCAGTCGACAACGAGCGATAGACTTGGCAAATTAATCCCCTGGCTCGTGTGCGCTTCATGAAGCAGCCTTAGCGGCGGTGACCAAAGTAGTTTAGGTCGTAATTCGAAAAATGGACAAAGGGATAAAACAACAACAAAAGAGAACCAGCGCCTTTGGTATCGTGTTGTTATTTATAAGAGGGAATACTTGACGATGAATAGCAACGAGGGAAGTCGTCAATAAAATTTGCGTAGAGTTTCAAAGAAACACGCGATAGAATAGAAGCGAACGTGGGAAGGAAGGCACGAATACAAAGATTAATGTTACACGAGAGGATTAAATTTGCCCGCGAATCACGTTGCGTTACACCCGCAGTTGCAGTTGCCTCGCACATTGGATATAAACGACACGATGAGCGATCGTCGATGGGAGAAGAGACGCAAAGCAAGGTGCACGCATCGAGGTTCTCCGCGTCCTCCATAATCGTGTAGCATAAGAAGGAAGATAGAGAACAAGCTAACTACTAAAGTCACCACAGAAGTAAAGAAGTGTATACGTAGCCGATAGAACATGATACTGAGAGAGCGATCGTCATGTGTTCAAATTTTCGAAACTTCGGCCCGACGGGAAGTAAATAGCCAAGAAGCGAGTTTCGATATTTTTTTCTGTCTTCGATAATGCGTTTATTGGACTAAACTGAGCGTGTTAAACAGCGAGAATGTATTCTGTCGAGATCCTCCGTAAGGAGTGTCTGTAATCTTTTCGGATGTTGTTTGAATCGTGACTCGCCGATCGGGCCTGGGTTTCAAAAATACAGCGCATCATCACCGATGGCTCTTTCAAACCATAAAAAGTCTCGTGTAGCTCTTGTCAATATTCGCTTATGGTGTTGTAATGTGTTACCTTTCGTTAACTAGCTTGTCAGTGAAGGGGTTTCGTGGTTGTCGCTTCATAATATCGCTCTCTGCCTCCTCGTAGGCTAGCGAGATGGCGGGTACCTGACGTCACATTATCAAAGAGCTCAGTAACAATGCCAACAATTAGATAACGAATATGTCTTTCGATGGTATTGGTGTAAGAATGCAGACGCGTCATCCACCGCAATAGAAATTGATTACTGATCGACTAAATAACGCATACTAATATGACTAATATGACCGTTCCCGATCCGATTCTTGCAAAGTCGATATCAAGATTTATGAAACGGATCGACGGCGACGACATTCTTACGGGCGATGAAGCGTACAGAGTAAACAGAAAATAACTAACTGAAAAATAAAGAAACCAAATTGATTGAGAAAATGATAGCTGAGGGTAAGGGAATATCATGAGGGGGGGGATCAGAGGAAATTCGCGGTATCCTTCGCTGATATATCGTGAACAGTGTTTTCGTGACGATAATAAAGTGTCTGAGAAGTATTTTTTTTTTTTCAAACGCCATTCGCGTCTCTTGTTGTGCGACAATTCTCACTGTCTAATCGTGTAAGTCGATTCGTTTTTGAATTGCAATACATTAAGGTTTCTTCGTTTCTGAGATAATCGCGAAACGAATATATCTGAACTAAATGATCTGCTTGTTTCAGCTTAAACTCCATCAGAGCAATTTATCTGAAAGGAAGTGGGAAATATTGAAGAGATTAATCGACGAGCAGCACATCGGTGGACTGGCATAGTTTGTGGCATCGTTATTAATTTCCTCGTTGTACAGCATTACATGATTATACTGAGCGGTATCTAAGAGAGAAGAAACAAGATAAAAGCATCATCAGATATGTTTCCAAGAAAACTCTCGATTCGCGTAATAAGTCCTCCGGATCTCCTTATTGATATCGCATTCAGGAAATATTCCCGGTACGGTGTGCTGTGATACCTATCGAATATTAGAAGCGTTACAGGCCATCGTGTGTCGTTGTGAAAACGTTTGTGACGCGCGCCATCATGATTTTACGATGCGCGTAAATGTTACGAAAGTTACATCAGTATCGTGCAAAATGATGGACACGGCGCAGGTGCTGAAATATTTCGATTAGTCAACAGCGTGGAGCTTGAAAGTGCTTCCACGTAACACAGCGCCGTTATTACTCGACTCAATCCGAATATTGGCACACTTTTGGTATGTTCTCGTTGAGTATTTATTCCGGAATTTCGTCACTTACCATATCAGTTCCCAGATCGATGCAGAGGATAGTAACAGTACCCAGAGGCAGAGGAATATCGCAGAGGATGAACGCCAGGAAAGGCGAGATCTCGGGTATGTTCGAGGTCAGGGTGTAGGCGATAGATTTTTTCAAGTTGTCAAAGATCAAGCGGCCCTCCTCGACGCCTGTCACAATCGAGGCAAAATTGTCGTCGAGTAAAATCATGTCGGCCGCTTGCTTGGAGACGTCTGAGCCGGCGATACCCATAGCAACACCAATGTCGGCCTTCTTCAGAGCAGGGGAGTCGTTCACACCGTCGCCTGAAATAATAAACAAAATATATAAATTATTGATACTGACACTGATATTAATTATTAATATTAATACTTGAGGTTTTCGCGGTGCAGACAAATGTTCGGGTTAAAGTCGCATTTCTCGTTTGAATTTGTCTCCAACGTTTTGTGAATATTTTAATTTACCTGATAGAAAGAGAAGCAATTTGACATTGAGCCGCTTCTCGATAGATTCTCCTATAAATGAGTACATGCTAACTAATTAGGGGAGAGAGGAGGAGATGCAGGGTAAGAAAGAAATGGAGGAGAATTATTAATATTATTTTATCTTGCTATATATGCATATTGTGCGTTACTAAGAAATTAGTTTATACTTTAAATTCTAATTAAAAACATTTGCTCGAAAATAAAATATTATTTCTTTGCAACGTGAACGATGCGGGATTCATCTTGTCATGGTATTCGCTCTTTAAGTGACAACTCACCAGTCACAGCGACGATCGCACCCATTCGCTGGCAACCTTCGACGATGATAAGCTTCTGCTGAGGCGAGGTACGGGCGAACACAATTTCGGTGTGGTACCTGAGAATCTCGTCCAATTGGTCGGAGTTCAGTTCCCTGAGTTCAGTTCCGTGGATGACCGCGGCTTTAGCCTCGCGCGGATTTACTTCGGACACCGGGATATTCAACCTTTGCGCAATGTCCTCAATGGTCTCGTTACCTGATAGAAAGAAAGGAAGCTGATATTAGCAAAGTTGAATCAAATGACAATCGTCAGTTAATAATTATTTCAAAATTATGTGAACTTAAATTGTATTTGCTAAATAATTAAACGATTGACCGAGTATTTCTCATGTAATATTATTTGAAGGATACGTTAGATACAATTTTTCTTTCCCTTAACAAGCAATTTTTCGCAGTGGTGATCGTCGCGCAAAATTCAAGAAACTTCTATAACTAAAGAAATTCGACAAATTTCGCGTAAACTTGCTCCACATATTTATTCGTATCTATACGAATTTGGGTCGCAAGAAATATTATCAGTACGATTATATACGTTCGTATGTGTATAGTTAAAAACAAAATAATAGTTATGCGAATTAAACGCGCTCGTTATGCTTAACAACTGGACGTTATTGCGTCGTATCCTTCTTACTTGGTATAATCTCCAATAAAACCGAGCCCCACCGACGAGTGAATTTCGCGTGTAAATAGGATCGTCGTAAATCTCGAATACAGCCTATTATCTAAAATTACCTGTCATTAAGAGATTAAACTTATAAAGCATCGTGATCGAGATAGATGTAGAACAGGAGAGGGGAAGAAAGAGAGGGAGAGAGAAGGAGAGGGGGGAAGGGGGAGAGAAAGAGAGAGAGAGAGAGAAAGAGAGAGAGAGAGAGAGAGAGAGAGAGAGAGAGAGAGAGAGAGAGAGACCTAGTATCTCGTATATCTAATCTCAAACATCATCTGATAGCAGTTATCATGGATTAATTAACACAAACATGTAGGCTCGTATATATACCTTCAGAGATGATGCCGACGGATTTGGCAATGGCTTTGGCAGTGATCGGATGGTCACCGGTTACCATGATGACCTTGATGCCGGCGGAACGGCACTTGGCGACCGCGTCGGGTACCGCAGCTCTAGGCGGGTCGATCATAGACATCAAACCCACGAAGCGGAGCCCATCGACCGGGAAGTTGGGGTCGTCGGAGTTGAACTTGAAACCAACCGGGAACTTGTCGGACGGCAGTGTGTAATCACAGAAGCCGAGCACTCGTTCACCGAGTCCGCCTAATTCCAAATAAGCGTTGTTGAACGCCTCCTTCATTTCCTCGTCGAGAACCTGCAGTAACAATGTGCGTTAGAATCGAACGAACGTAGGAAAATGCCATTTGAAGGAAATCCCGTTCATAATATATAAATTGTCTCTTTTAATCTCATTTCATTTTATTATCGTTAATATTTATAAGATAAAAGAAGAGACAATATATATATATATATAGAGTGAGGAAAAAGTCTTGGACAAATCGGTAAAATATTTCGAAAACCAAGCGTTTTAGAAAAAAATGTTTCGAACAAAAGTTATATGATTTCAAGGGAAACATAAAACAATATATAATTTTGTTTACAAATGACACCATTTTCGAGATATTCACTGATCATTACTTTTCTTAAATGGAAACCCCAATTTTTTATTACACCGTCTTTCTCTACCAATTAATCAACTTTTGTCTGGAACATTTTTTTATTTGCCTAATATTTTTTGAGATATTTAGTAACTTATTGACTTTTGGAAATTTCAAAATCATCAAATTAACAAAAGTCAGGGCGCTATTGTAACAATATATTCTTGAGACCAAATAGAGCAAAAAAATCTAGTACCACTTTTTTTTCGACAAATAGCGAGATATCGCAAGTTAAATATTGAAAAAGTTGTCAAGTTTTCCTCTATAAATATCTCAAAAATATTAGGCAAATAATAAAATGTTTCAGACAAAAGTTGTTTAAATTAATTGGTAGAAAAAGACAGTGGTAGAAAAAGACAGTAATAAAAAATTGGGGTTTCCATTTAAGAAAAGTAATGATCAGTGAATATCTCGAAAATGGTGCTATTTGTAAACAAAATGATATAGTTTTTTTATGTCTCCCTTGAAATCATACAACTTTTGTTCGAAACATTTTTTTCCAAAACGCTTGGTTTTCGAGATATTTTACCGGTTCAGGACTTTTTCCTCACCCTGTATATATACACAATAATATGAAATAAAGGACGATGAAAACCGATTGCGAATTTAATTTCCATATATTTATAATATACTGCACGTGCAGATACAAATTGTTTTATTATTGGAATGTTTTGACCATATATTGTGATCATCCTCAGCTGAAATTACAAATCATAGATCATTTTCGGTCACGAGCAACAAAGTAGTTCTTACAATGCACGTAATATGTAAAAACAGAGAAGTCATACTTCAAGTTGAACTTGTTGACGGATGTGTAGATAATTTTATGCAGATAATCAATTCCGATGGATGGATTCCTTTCGAAGTTGGTAGACCACTTTCAGGATCCCCAAGAAAAAACTATCATGATATTACATCATCGTTAGTAAATTATGGGGGAAATTATAAAAACAAAATTAATAATTTGATACATCACGATGCAACATGTAATAACAATGAAAGAAAAAGAAAAAGAAAAAAAAATTCCCGACGATATACAATGAAGAAACTTTGTACATTCAAAAACAATTTTAATTGAAAGCAGTAATTTGGAGAACATGATATCAAATTTCAAAACGACATAGATAAAATTGTAATATATACATCAACGGCACACATAAAAAGTATTACAAGTGTAAGAGCAAGAAAAAGAAAATTGAAAAAGAAAAGATCAAAAATAAGAAAAAAACATTTCTTACACGGTCAAAGCTCCAACGACGAAAAGTAAATGTTATATAATAACTCAGCATCCTATTGTTCGTTTGTAGACTGTTATTTTATTGATTTTTACTTGAGATATATATGATTTCAGAAATTAACCGTTTATAGAAATGCTATTTGTTGTTCAATGTTCTAATATCTTCCCAGTAAAATTGATATAACTCGTAATTTCTTAGAATCACAATATATATATATATATATATATATATATATATATATTTTGTGAATCACAATATTGTGATATATATATATATATATATAGAATCACAATATATATATCTATATCTATCTTTTAGGGGGAGCACGATACATGGTCGCGATAATAAAATAATTTGTACCTGCGTGTACAGTACATTATAAATCTGTACAAATTAGACCTGTACCTTGATTTGAATCATCCTTTATTATTTGATTTTATAATCGAAGAGTTTTATAATCAGTCTTACTCAAGATAAAAGAGTTCAAGACAAATTCTTACCTTCTCTTTGCCGCCGATAAATATGGTTGCACATCTATCTAGAATTCTCTCGGGAGCACCCTTCATTACCAACAAATGCCTGGGATCATTGGGATCGTCCGACTCGTGTACAGACACTTGATATTTGTTCGTGGAGTTGAAGGGAATCTCGCAGACCTTCTTGTTGCGTTTCCTGATACCCATCACATCGCCCAACGCGAGTTCCATGCACTTAAGCAGCGCGGCTTCAGACGCATCGCCGTTCACCTCTCTCTTCAGGATTGGTTCACCCTCCTGGCCTGGCTTGAATTCGGCGCGGTTACACAGCGTTGCGATCTTCGCTAACGCCTTGAATCCAGGACTAGTACGGTCGTACTGCAAGCCAGACTGATCTTCCGTGGTATCAGCGTCGATGATCTGATTGTCGAACCACATGTGCGCCACTGTCATACGATTCTGCGTCAGGGTTCCTGTCTTGTCCGAGCAGATAGTCGAGGTCGATCCTAAAGTCTCCACAGCCTCGAGATTCTTCACCAGGCAGTTCTTCGAGGCCATCCGTTTGGCGGTCAGAGTCAGGCACACAGTCACAGTAGCTAGAAGACCTTCAGGCACGTTCGCCACAATAATGCCTATAAGGAAGATGACGGCGTCGAGCCAATGGTAGCCCAAGATAAAGGCAATGATGAAGAATGTGACGCCGAGGAAGACAGCGACACCGGTAATAAGATGAATAAAGTGATGTATCTCCTTGGCGATCGGCGTTTCCCCGGTATCCAGACCGGACGCGAGACCCGCAATCCTTCCCATCACCGTCTGATCGCCACAGCAAATCACCACGCCTTTTGCCGTGCCTTCTACCGCGTTTGTCGAGAAGAAAGCGAGATTCTTCGTTTCAAGTGGGTTCTCGTTTGTGAACTCGGGCGACCTCGATTGCGGTTCAGATTCACCCGTCAGCGAACTGTTGTCCACCTTGAATCCCCGTGCCTCGATGATCCTGATGTCGGCCGGTATCCGATCGCCGAACTTAACTTCAACGACGTCGCCGAGGACGAGATCCTCCGCTCTTAGGGTGAGCTTCTCGCCTTCTCGGATCACAGTGGCGAATTGGGGCACCATGTTCTTGAACGACTCCATGATCTTGCTCGACTTGCTCTCCTGGTAGTACGAGAATATACCCGTGACTATCACGACCGCCGCGAGGACGATGCCCAGGTAGAGATTGTCATCGTTTGGGTCTTCGCTGGTCGAGGCTTGGATCGAGTACGCGATGAAGCAGAGGATCGCACCGATCCATAACAACAGGGCGAAACCCCCAAACAGATTCTTGCAGAATTTTACCCATTCCGGGGTCTGCTTCGGCGGCGTCAGGGCATTCGGACCGTCCCTCTCCAGGTTCTCCTTTGCTTTTGCATGGCTGAGGCCCTAAACAACATTTCCCGTACGTTCATTAGTCCACACCGCAATTCGAACTTCTAATCTATTTACATGTATGTTTAACACCATTTTCTCTTTTTCTATAGCGAGAAGTGCAGCTGTCTTTAGCTAAGATTAACTCTATCGATAATCTATTGCTACACTGGAAAATATGATAAAATTAAAAAGAATTTATACGAAAGAAAAAAAAGTTATATTTTCTCTGTATGCAGCTTCAATATTCTCGTCTAGCAACGTCAGGTAATTTTAACTTTAGACATTCTTTTTTTACTTCATCTTTCGTAGATATCGATTAGACTCGACCAGTGATCACAGGCGTCTCATCTCATCTGCGAATCTATCGATCTTGTTGCTATCTTGTTACTTACGTTTTCGGGGTGCGTCTGAAATCTTTGATACAGTTCCTCGGGTGAGATTTTGTGGAAGTCAATGTCCAGCTCTTGCTTCAAGTCATCTAAGTTGTCCCCCCTCCGCTTTGGGTTCTTCCGCCGCGACTGTTAATACAGGAACAAAGAAAGAAACGAGCATTATGAAACGTGGCTTGTCGGCAGCGTCTTGTCGTCGTGAGACGATCGGGTGTAGCGATCGTTAATGATCGAATGATTAAAACGAAGAGGATTATCATTGAAGATGTTGGGTTACGCGACAATCGAATATTTCAATCCAGCGACGAATGAGAGAGACTGCCGTCGGAAAAGAGCGGAAAAGATCGATTGCGAGACGACAGAGTAGCAGTGAAAATACAGATGAGTGACCGAGTGACCACACCGCGCGTAAGGCTGTAAGACGAGACATGATTGCACCATAATAAAAAGGCGACAATGAGCAACGAACGAAGATTCCGACGGAAAATTCATCGGGCATCGATGGAACTGAAAATCTCACCGACTGTTCTTTCTTTCTTTTCTTTTATTTTTTGCAGGTATTGCGTGTTTCTCTTCTCGTTTTTCCTCGTGGGAATTTGCCCGTTTTTACATAGCTTCTCTGCTATTTTTTCTCAATGTTTCTCAATCTGCAATTTTCTCGACTGATGCAATCTTATCTTGTCCTATGCGCGCGTATCGTCAACACGTTAAATCGTGAATGCGAAACTGTTCGCTCACGGGAGCGCGACGCCAAGATAGTCAAGTGATTAAAAAGCGTGTTTACGATGCCGTCCCTCGGACAGTTCCGAACCCAGCACCAAGCAAAATCCTTGTACCATGCGTTGGTTAAAGTGATCGCGAAGCTCGTGAGAACGCGGAAAATACCGAGGAAAATACAAGGAAATCCGAGAGTCTCCAAGTTTCATCGATAGCAAGAGGAAGAGGAAAACCTCGGGGAGATCCCCGAGCGTCGAAGCGTGTAATTAGCAACGAGAAATATGTATATTGACAATATAGATAGTCCAAGAGAGTAGACGTTTATCACGAGGAAGAAACGACGGAATCGTAGAAATCAACGTCGAAGAAGCGACGAAGGGCGATGGAACAGAGGGCGAGAGAAGAAGAATAAAGAGAAAGAGGAGAGCAGAGAGGAGAAAGTAAGAAAGAGAGTAACAGATGAAGAAGATATAGAGAGATAAGGAACGCGAGATGAGCGTTCTCGTATATTTTCGTTCCATAGAAGAAGCGTAGCGACCACATGTCCCAGCGTTCGGAAACGTTAATTAGAATTCGTGCGGAAAGATCCAATTAGGATCCTCTGTATACCTTGTACATCCCATCTGCGGTTTTGTTGTCGTCGGGAATGTTGGGTAAGGTGGCGACCCTGTACGATTCTGAGCAGCCATGCTGTAAAAAAATGGGCGATAAAAAAATTATGAAATGATGACATCGCAACAAAATATACGAACGATCGACAGGCGATCGAAAATAAATATATGGCAATGTGTATACATGGCAAAATCAAACAAATACGGAAATAATAATAACGAACGCGAGCTAAATTCGCCTCGCAATTTGACATCGGTAAGAAATCGGTTTTATAAATATTTTTATAAATATAACTTTCTGCATAGTACGATTAAGCTCCGAGATATTATTCCGCTCATTATTTCGTTGAATGATAAAAATGATCTCGCAGTGCGAGATTTCGCGCGCTTTTCGCTCTCGAGATATTCCTCGTTCAGCTTTAGAAAAATACTTGAAACCTCTGCATGAAATATACACCCCAAGAAGAATTCATTCGACATCTCCGATGCATCGAAGGCCGTTGTTTACAGAAGTACAGAAGACGATAGAAATCGTCGCCACTTTTCGACGGTTGGTTGCCTTTTACTCTGCGATGTTCGCAACGATCCGATAAATCATCAATCCCTCCCCCCTTCCGCTATTTTCTTCGCTAGCAAGTAGAAAACTATGAAGAAACGAGAAACGACACAGATACCGGCGACTTTCCGTAGATGTTAGCGCACGATGTCGACCGGATTTTTTCTCTTTTCAAATTCATGTTTGTGCGCTTGTCTTTATTGAAGATTAATGACCCTGCATTCTTTCCCTCCTCTTCCTCGTATTCTCTCATGTTGACAATACGCATAATTCTACGTGTCATTATCTAAACAAAACGATCAATTTTCCCATAACGGCTGCAATCGTACTAAGCGTCACTGTTCGGCGGAGAAGGCAAGCCTTCTTTCTCTCTTGAAAGAGAGGGCGAGATATAGGACGTAACGAAGAAGAGAAAAGTTCGATTTTCAGGAGCAACGGGGCGTCATCACGTTTGGATAACGATTGCTTCCGGTAACGCTGGCTCAACGGAGGCGCACTCCGGTGTCCAGTGTGCTTGTCCAATGCTCAGTAACATCCGTAGTCGCGATTACGAGAACCGTCTTATCTACTCGCTTTGTCGTCACCGACAAAATTCGAAACTTTGGGCCTACGCTGATAATCAACAAACTGGCCCCGAGGGAGAAAGGAAATTACGCTCCGTCGCTGCGGACGAAACACAGACAACTTTACAACGTGATATTATTTCGCCTCTTTGTTAATAGAAACGCGCACAACACGTGGGTGTAACACCATTCATTGGAACTATGTCGACAAAGATGAGATTTCCAAAGAAAAAAATGTAAAAAGAGAGAAACATCATGCGAGCAGGTTGCTCGTTTCTATTGCGAAATATGTCGATGTCGTTATAAACGGTAAGTTTTTTTTTTTTACGTACAGCGTCAGCTGTTTCCTTTCTTTATTTGACGACAAGTGAGTACGACGACCAAATGTCGTTCGTCACTCTATGTAATATATTTAATATGAACCCTTCGGGAACTCTCCCTTCTACACGAATTCAGATCAACCCTCGGTCATTTCGTCGCTTCATGTGAACCAACACTCGCGCACGCAGATTTATGAACCTCGGTTGAGTCGCGCGACGGTCGTGTCGACCGAACCCCACTCAACCCTTTCGTTACAGAAGAGAAAAAAAAATAGATAAACAATCGGCAAGGAATAATCGTTATAAAGACTAATTAGCAAAAGAATATAACCAACGCTGCATTTAGGTAGTTAGTCCGCGACGGAACGAGGCACGAGCGCGAGTTATTTTTCACAGCCACGTGTGCGCGTGCACTCGATATATCTGGCAGGAATATCGCATAAAAGTGTACGAATCGTGACTGATAATACGCACGCGCGCGCGACTTTGCGCGCTCGTCGATTCGACGATATCACACGCAGCGCGTATACGCGCCGCGTCACAACTCACAGGCAGGCACGGCATACGAGCAAGTGTGCGTACGCACATACGGACGATCAGCGAGGCGCGTGTGTTACGAAATTGCGTAATAATCGTGCTTCCTCAATGACAGCGCGAATGAGTGAACGAGTAAGCGGCGAACAGCGATGGGCCAGAGGTAATGATACCCATGAAATTGATCGTTTACATATACAAGTCAACGCGACGCGCGTGACGGACTGTGCGCGCGCAAACAAAATATTAGGTCATTAAATGTCCGATTTCCTTAAGTACTAAGTTCGATAGTCGATATCTCTGACATTTCACAGTTTTTACAGTTTTCGGTCTTTTTTTTTTCTTGTGAAGGTACATCATCACTCTTTCAAATGTATGTTTTGGTTTCTGATTATCTTCCGAATTGTCTTTGTTACAGCAGTTTTTGTGTAACAATGGATAAGTTAAAAATTCATGTTATCTTCGAATATGAGTTCCGTCGTGGGGAACCAATGCAGTACAGACAACTCGAAATATTAACGAAGTGCTTGGTGAAGATGTGACTGATGAACGTACAATACGTCGATGGTTTGACAAGTTTCGTTCTGGCGATTTTAATCTTTATTTAATAAAATGAGCCACGTTGGTGAGATCCGAGACCAAGGTGGATAATGATGAGCTGAAAGCTGTAGTGTGGAAGCGGATATATTTCAAACTACGCGTGAATTAGCAGCAAGGTTTAACGTTACTATTCCAACAATATTGGATCACTTGAAACAGATCGGCAAGCAATAAAGAAGCTGGACAAGCTGGATTCCGCATGAATTAAACGAGCGTCAGAAGAGAAGTCGTCTCGAAGCTTGCCTTTCTTCACTATCACGACGTAAAAGCGAACCATTTTTACATCGTATTGTTACGTATGATGAACAGCGGATTCTTTTCGACAATTGCAAGTGTTCGGCACAATGATTGGATATGGATGAAGTGCCGAAACACAGTCCGAAACCGAATATTCACGGAAGAAAGCTAATAGTCTGTTTGGTGGTCCAGCGCTGATATTATCCATTACAGCTTCATGAAACCTGGTCAGTCGATTACAACGGATGTCTACTGTAACCAACTAGGCGAAATGATGAAAATGCTTGCGATCAAGCAGCCGAGATTGATCAATAGACACAGATGATTCTCTTGCAAGACAACGTTCGATCACATGTCACACAAACAACGTTGCTCAAACTACAGGAGCTGAACCTGAAAAGTCTCTGTCACCCACCGTATTCACCAGACCTTGTACCACCTGACTATCACTTCTTCCAGGCACCGGACCATTTGTTGCAAGGAAAAATATTCAATTCTCAAGAAGCTGTGGAAAACATCTTCCGCGATTTCATCGTCACCTGCTCTTCAGGCTTCCTCGCTGCTGGAATAAAGAAGCTACCGTTAAGACAGCAGAATTGTACCGATACTTTAGGCGCATACTTGGATTGAATTTCTACTATTTTTAGTTTGAGATATTGGGTTAGCAAATAAGTTGGTTCGGTTTTTGTTTCAGTGTAAGTTTCATGCGGATTCGCTTTTCTTTTCTCAGCGCCATCGTGCAAATCGAATACACACTTGAAAGGTTATGTTTCACTGTTTATGCTGTGCTGTGTTTGGTTTGGCTAAAATCAGTATTGTGTGTGTTGCGTATTTTAAAAAAGGCAAACGAACTGCGGATGCTCATAAAAAGATATGCCGTGTGTATGGAGATGATGCCTTAACAGAACGCGTATGCCAATTTCCGTTCTGGAGATTTCGACGTCAATGATGCGCCCCGCTCCGGTCGCCCGACCGAGATTAATTCAAGTGACATTAAGGCTATAATCGAAGTAAATCCATCCCAATCGGTACGAGAGATCGCTACTACATTGAATATATCCCACACAAGTGTAGAAAAGCATTTGCGCCAGCTGGGATACGTTTCTCGGCTTAATGTTTGGGTGCCGCATCAATTAACCGAGGCTAACTTGACCACACGCATATCCATCTGTGCATATCTTTCGCTACGGAAATGCCAAGAAAACGACCCATTTTTTAAACGGATGGTGACGGGTGACGAGAAATGGGTCGTCTACGATAATGTAACGCGTAAAAGATCATGGGGGCACAGCAGCGAGCCACCGCAAACAACCTCGAAGGCGGGATTGCATCCGAAGAAAATAATGCTCTCCGTATGGTGAGATTTCAAGGGATTTCAAATCTATTACGAACTGTTACCGTCAGGCAAGACGATTGATTCAACTGTGTACTGTTCGCAATTGACGAAATTGAACCAAGCAATCCGCAATCTGGACAGAACGTCCAGAATTGGCAAATCGCAAAAGTGTCGTCTTCCACCACGACAACGCCAGACCTCATACGTCATACGTCATTGACCACTCGGAACAAGTTGCTTCAGCTTGGCTGGGATGTTTTGCCTCATCCTCCGTATTCACCGGATCTTGCCCCTTCCGATTATCATTTATTCTATCGGTCGCTGTAGAACTCTATGAACGGGAAAACCTTTAAGGATAAAGAGGCTGTTAAAAACCACCTGGATTGGTTTTTCGCCGATAAGTTCCAGACGTTTTACGAACGCGACATAATGAAGTTGGTGGAAAGATGGCTAGAGGTCATCGATAACGATGGCCAATATATAATTGATTAAAATTTATCTCGTGTATCAAAAAATTGTGTTTTATTCTACTCTAAAAAACCGAACGAACTTATTTGCCAACCCAATGTACTCGTAATAAACCAAACTTTTGATTCGAAATCGGACATTTCATATTTAACGACCTAATAGTAAAGTGCGGGGAAGTTATGTTTTCGCGATCATAACTGCCGATATGCCGCGTCGTCGGACCTTTATCTAATCGCCGACCGGTAACGAGCCGCCGTCACATAATTAACGTAGCCGCGACAGTAGCAATTGCACGGGTCTCGTGTTTCGTCGATTAGCTCATCCGGTGTGTGGGAATGCCATCAAGTTTTCACGGTCGACGTAACCGCCAATGGCACACGCGTTGGACGGCATTTTACGAAATAAACCAGCCGGAGATTATGCAAAATACTCGGCGATAAAATTGACTATGTCGTCAGGTTTTCT